GTCAGAGACAATTTAAAAGTGGAAGTGGACTTAGAATACTAATGAATAACTATAAAACCTAAAATATTAATTCGTAGGGTGTTTTGTGGTTGGTCTGGATTCCAAGCCCTTTATATATTTACTACCCCTGCATTACATACTGTTCTGTGCGTACCGAGTGTGATCGGATTGAATTTGTTCATTCCATGTATGGAGTAGTTCTTTTTGTTTCAAAAATATTCATTTTTCATTTGACTTCATTTTTGTTCCAATTTGACTAAAAATGTCTGAAAATGATACTCAATTCAAACAGAGCGGTAAAGTTGGTAAAATTGCGTGGATGCAGAGCAAATATTTTTAATATTTATTCAATTGAATTGTTTATTTCAGAAACCCGTCAAACGCCAAAATCTAAAACACACTTAGCTGCGGATTAGTGTTACAAGACGTAAGTCACATTGTAGAGTGCGCATTTGTATGAAACATATCCATTTATAAACTACTTTAATAAATAAAAATATTTTGAAACAGAAAAATTGGGAGGCTTTTTGTCAGTTTCCTCGAAATGAGAAACTTGGCGTTTGACGGGTTTCTGAAATAAACTATTCAATTAATCTGTATTTATTGTACTCAATACTTATCTAAACACTTATCTCTAACTGTCGTACATATCAGAAAACACTATTCATGCAAAATAATATTAATATTTATCTCTCCTACGAAGATGAAATATTTATCTTTGTTATTATTTACATTGCCTTTTTATTAGATAGCGTGGATGTATAATTCTCCACATCTCATTCGAAAACATATCACATAATAAAAACTGAACTATTTAGTATGTGAGTAAATATTTATAATTTTCAAGATATTAGGGTCGATGTACAAATATATTATTTTATATTTGTGAGATAGAATCTTTCCACACATTTTCAAGTAACTCGAACTGCTGGCCGCCCATCGGCAATTAATTCCACTACAAGTATCTAACGATAAAAATCTGAATGAAGCATACTAAAATAACTATTAAAACTTTATTAAATTTAAACCTCAGTTGCAATTAAATTACATGTTACAAAGTAATTTACACAGACAAACTTTTTAACCCAAGATTTGTAATGTTTCTGAGGATATTAAGGGAATCAAGCAAGTGAGGCTGTGAAAACTGAATTCCAATAACTTTAACCTTCAAAAACTGCAGGAGTTACTAAGGTTATGTGACACTTCTTTTATATAACCGTATATCTAATCAGGATAAATGTCTCTAATTTTAGGCAACTTTTTAAGCAGAGATGTCCGGCAGAACACTTTCTAGGAGATTTCATGTACCCGAAGATCATCTGTTCATATTGTGATAAGCCAGAAACCGCGGGTTTAATTTGAAGAGGAAAAACAGCATCAAGTGGGTGTAATAAGATTCAATTGTATGCAGGCTTGAGAACCAACGAATATACGTTGTTAGGACAACCAAAGGTTAAACAATGTATAGTATTCCAATAGGTTAAACAAAGTATAGTATTCCATACTTGGTGTCATAGCGCTATTCATTTGGGGAGGCACGTCCCTGAGACATTACATGCGAGAGGTATTGAGATGCCATTCAAATCCATCATCTATGGGAATATGAAAATACTCACTCTCTGAAAAGTTACAGAGCTGATCACACGTAAGCAATCGGTGTGGTACGAATACGTTTTCGGCATAGACTGGGTTAATCTACTACTGAGCCAATCACAATCATTAGTTAAATGATAGCGAGGTGGGTAACTTATGATTACTTTTGATAGCTTGGCAGTTTTGTCGAGTAAGAGGCCGAGAGTGTTATTTGCATTGAGTTATAATTGTAAACCTTGTTAATATAATTATGAATTTTATTTAATTACACTCCTAATTTCGAATGGTTTCATTTTAGGATAGCGCCGTAGATAGGGAGGAAAATTAAATAAGTCATCGAAGATATTTCATCCGAAGCACATTCAGGGTACGTCGCACCCGCGAACAAATTGAATAGAAATTATTGAATCCGAAAGTATCAAATAGTCCAGGGTATTCCAGGAACATGTGTAATATATTCTAATGATAGGCAAGAGCCCGATAATAGGGGTATCGAGAACATTCCACGGACAACCTCGAGCCAGTAAAATATACATCCGAGAAGAACGTCTGACAAATCATCACAGTAAGCTTACGAACTTTATTCAAAACCATACGGTACTTTTAAATTCTTATTTTTGAAAGAAAAGTAAATAGTGATAATTTATAATAGTTGCCATCAATTCAATAATTAGTTTTAATCCACAGAACCTACAGCAATCTTAATTCTGTATAGAATTACATATCCATATGCAACAGGTTAGGCGGAAAATGTTGTGTGTCGAAACCCATGATTAAATTCGAAAGTGAAATTAATTAACAATATTTTAATATTTAGAGAATTTATTAGCATATCAGAGCAACGATATTAGTAATATTATTAATCATAGCAAAGGAACCACTTCATAATATTTATATAATTGTTTGTAAATAGTATAGAGATTTATTCATTTGAATATCAGTAGGAGAAGTAGTATATCACTGTATAACACGGGATTTCTTGAAATCAGGGGAAAGGGCTAATTAATAAATGAATATACGAGGAGCATTACATAATTAAAGAGACAAATTAGCCTCGAGAAATAAACGTTTAATTTAGAAAACAGAACTTTGCCTATTTTTTAGTATAATCCCCACCAACATTTGTACACTTGTCCAAACTTTTTTGTACCGGCTGCAAAGAACTCTTTATCTTGGTATTTGAACCAATTACTCACACCTTTTTTGACATATTCGTTATCATGGAACTTCTTCCCCCGAAATGCATCCTTCAGTGGACGAAACAAACTGAAATCACATGGTAATAAATTGGAACAGTAAGGGGCATGAGGCAGTTACTACCAACCCATTTCATTGATGGTTTCACGGCTTTGTTGAGCAGTGTGGGGAGGTGCGTCGTCTTTCTGGAGAATCAAACCTATCTGCTGAAATCCATGACTTTTTTCATAGCTGACTTCACCTTGTATAAAAGCATATTCAATTGGCTGGTTATTGTACGTGGTTCATCGAGATAATCACAAATAAACGCACCTACCGCGACCTTAAAATTACGTGAACATGACGTTTCCTGCTGATGTGCCCAGAACCTTGTGCATCATGAGTCTCGACAACTATTGAACTTGTTTATCCAGTTGTAAAAATTCTCGCGGTTCATACAACTTTCCCCATACACTTTTGTCATATACGTACATATACGAGATAGTAAATTAGTTGTGCTACAGTGTAACTAATTCTAACTTAATTTCCTTGTCTTGTAAATGTTAGACGTTCACTACAGTGACCCCCTGAAGCTATGAAGAATGATCAACAGCACCCCCCCCCAAAAAAAAAACAAAATAATATTTTTAATACAGGATTGTGAATCTTTCTTTTGCGTCATTGAAAAGGAATTACGTATCAAGAAAATGTTCAAACCCACATACATATATTCTTAAAAAAATTACCCTTTGTACAATAACAAAATCAATCCACCATAAAGTTGACAAATTAACAAATTCAAATACAATTATAAAATTTTTAACACTTTGACAACAATATAAAGTGAGCATCAAGCACAGTTTGCAAAGTTCAAGTTGCATGCACTGTCTGAGCACTCGTTACAATATTCACATAAATGGGCTTGTTGCTCTCTGCAGTGACTTCATACTTATGCAGTGTCTAATGACCGCTATTTCCACTGGAGGATGTCATTACACGCAACCACTGAACGTACGCATTGAAGGGGTGGCTTGGGGTACTACGGAAATACTGTCAAGAGCCTCCTACCTCTTAGCGAACTGGGCGAACTTGATGCTACTCGCAGTCATGGCAAGTTCGTGGCGAAAGATAAGGAGAAAAAAACAGGAGAGACGATTATTACCGACCTTTTCTCGGGGCCTTGTCTCACCCAACGGCACGAAGCTTGCGACGGTCAGCGGGCTGGTGTCGCTGAATATACGTCTCTGCGAAGATCCGGGTTCTTTCACGACAATGTAGTGTAAAAAACGGACGCCCGTAAAGCTAGGCGAAGCACCTTCAATGTCCGTTTGTCTTCTCACCACGCTTACCACCTCTTCCCAAAAGCATATATTTTGGACATTCCTCTCTCGCGTCTCATAGCATTCTCTCTCGTTGCACACTACCGCGTGGTCGGCACGGTCACTACAATTCAAATATCTCAGAATATATATAAATAGGGATTTCCAACCTCTTGCAGAGTGCACTGCCCGCGCTATTTGAATGTAGCGTTGGTATCTCAACTACAGATAGGTAAAGGTTACAACAGAATGGTACAGACTTTCTCATATTCGTTTTTTATTTTCTTTGGTCTGGAGTATCTATTGAAACATGCCATATCCTCTTTCCAGCTGCGACATACCGACGTCATAAGTATATTTTTTTGAAGTTTTCCCAAATTTCGGTTTCCTGTTAGTAGAAGCTACAGTTTACTTTAAGAATATTAAAGAAGAGTAAACCCTAAATGAAAAATGTCATTTAAAAATTGGAGCCGTTTGTTTTAGAATATAGCTTTTAAGCATTACTGTAAAAGCGAAATTTGAAACTTTGTCACAGGAATTTTTTGAGTTTTCGAAAAACTTAATTTAAAGCATTTAAATTCTTAAACGCAATAGTGTTTACAAATTGCTGTATATGTGCCTATTAACGGCGTGAGAGGTTTTAGAAAAAAATTGTGCAATTTTTGAAAAAGCAAAAGAATACAGCATAATTATTTTTGTTGTATTGATCAGTGCTTTCAACTCTGATTCATTGTAAAAGTCTAAAGAAAAGATTTTGAAATGACATGAAAAGTACTCCTACATTTTGAAGATAGTTTTTTTTTTAATCGTGTCACCTTGAGTGGAGCCAGATCGACCGAGGAATTTCCATTTTGGAAAAAAATCGTACATATGGTTTAGGCACTAATGGTGTTCAAACACTGACAGACGGACATACTGGCGGACAGACGGATGGACAGATAGACGGACGTTTTGAAAAAAAAACACCTTTTCGGTATCGGTAGTCCTAAAAACGTGTATTTCCGTTGAAATATCGATGTCAATTTTCCGCATCATCACATATCTTTCTCTTATTACGTACATTACGTTACATTTTCAGTAAGTAAAAACCAATCACAGTGGGTTGCTAAACCAATGTGGAATTCTGACGTCAACTCACCATCGTTCAAATTAATTTTGAGATTAAGAACACAACAATGGTTGTCTTCAGCGCTTATTACAGAGAAGCCAACTTAAAATCCTATAATTACCAAAATTGTTCTACCAACCTTTGTTGTCTCGAGACCAATTTGTCATAAGTAATATCACAGCACTTCAAGTAATATTTAGTGACAATATTACATATTAAGACCATGGATGAATCGAATGGATAATTAAAATTACAGGAATTACGAAAAATAGAAATATTACTCAAAATAGCAACCAAAATATGTGAAATTTACATTCAGCTCCGAGTTATCACTGCCTCCTGGAATAACTTATAATCAAGTAAAATATGAAAAAGAGTTTAATTCAAAAAATTTTTTAAGTATGTTTCGATTTTATTGTAATAAAACATATACAAAAGTATGAGAAAGCTACTGATAACATTTATTAAAACTATTATTAAAGTTGTAGAATTTGAGATTTTCATGTCTTGGCATTACGTGGAAGTATTTGAAGTGAAATATGTATGTACAAGCTGAATTAGCAGCGATATTTCTCAATTTCGAATGGATTTAACACACGTGTGTACTCAAAGTATTTTTCTGAGTAAGTTTGGTTCTATCGTTTCACATAGTTTTGTCAGCATATTATTTGTACTCTTCACTATCTAATCTTCGCCTATTAATTGCCCACAATATAGGTAGTTTCTTCATTTGCATTTTGTGCTACCCATTTGAATTTTATTTCTTTAAAAACTTCTTGAAATTGCTTCCACACACTTTCTCTGCTTCTTTGGCTGTTTTTTGCACTGAATCTTTAATAATATATTATATTTCAGAGTTTTAAACATTACTAAAATGACACATTTTAATATTATATTGATGCTCACATGCTATTATGAACCTAAAACAATTGCTATCTTTATCTTAAAAAAGGTAAACAAAGTAATTACAGAGGAGAGTAAAAGGTAAACGGATAATTTTATAACGTTACTTGGTTTAATTTGAGTACATTCTTGTTCAGCATTGGTTACTTGCTATACGGACAGACATGAGTGAAATAGTGTCTTTAATTATTGAATGATCCTCGTAACAGCGTTATATGCAATTTCCAACTATATTTCATTGTTGAAAAGTGATCATTTTCTACCCCTTTACTTACCCTACACATTTTTAACAATAATTCAGGAACATTTGTACGTAAAATCAGAAATCACGAATCCCGATTATTTTTGTCGCATGGAAATCGTGTTAGCGAGGATTTATATAGCACAATACTTATACCTTAACTAATTAGAACTATGAGGTTGTGGGAAGGAGGAAGAGGAGTTGAAAAGAAACGCATTCCTTGGTGGTAGAAAAGAAGGTTTAATTAGAGCGCGTCCTCGCGCGGCGCGTGGCCGGAGCGCCTAGTAGCGGGGGCCCCCGTTGTCGGAGCCTCCCCGCCGGCCGTCATGGCCGCGCACGCGCCCGCCCTGCCCGTGGCCGTCGTGCGCGTGGGAGCCGTGGCTGTGGGCGTCGTGGCCGCGGGCGTTGTGGTGCGAGTGGCTGCCGTGGTCGTAGTTGGCGCGGCCCGAGCCGCCGTCGTGGCCGGACTGGCGGTGGCCGCTGTTGCTGCCGCCGCGATGGCCCGGCTCGTGGTCCGCCATCGCTACCGCCACCACCGTCACGAGTAGAAGAGCGAATACCTGCGGAGATGTTTCAGTCATTTAGGATAAAAAATCTTTTGAAGGCCACTTCAAATACATTTGGATTTGGAGGTTTCCCTCCTGCTTTAAAGTGGCAGAAGGTATAGCTTTAGACTTGCAGGGTAAAGGGTACAACAAATATAATAATATAGTAATTGTCATCACATTGTCAGTTTTTTAGGACGCTTGTACGCTCAATGTGTTCCGCAGACGTAAAGAATACCAAGTTGCCACCTTGTTATTTGGTAACAAATGCATTTCAATAATTAAATTTGTTCAAAGAATTGTCACCCCGACCAGGATTCCAATCCGGGTCTCCTGGTCTCCCGGTCAGGGTGACAATTCTTTAAACAAATTTAAATGTAGTGATTTTTATTTTCGCATTTTATACTTAGAGAAGAAGTTGTTAGCATTTGATAAATATTGGTATTGTAATAATATAGAATGGACTATTGTTTTTTAGATAAAGTATTTCAAACGAGGGTGGTGCCCAACCACAGGGCAGAATATGCAATGGCCTTTATCTAGTCAAATTTCCAAATCGCTATCAATATTTTGCAATTTGAAAGTTTCACAACTGAAACAGAATCATTATTATCATTATTTGCAAATAAATTAATTAACTAGAAGTGCTACAGAATGGCATATGCTTTTTTTCCACTAATTATTTTCCTCATCTTCTTGGTCTAAACTATTTTTTCGATATTACCCCACTCTCTTCCCAGGTACTTCCTATCAGCGCCTAAAATATCCTATTTTCCCATCTTTGCAATTTTTCGGCCCCCTAATTACTATTCCACTTATGTAGAATTGAAGAGAAAACTGGAGCCTTTTCCTATGAAAATTTTTCTGGAAGAAATGCCAATATTGTTGAGAAAATGTCCTTCAAGAGTTTCTGAAAATGCGCAATATAGAGCTGATTTTCACAGATACCTTTTGGGTTTTCGGAAAACTTGATAGAAAATCATTTAAAACACTTCTGCTTACAAATCTAATAAAGCATAAAATCGCCCGTCATTTAAATATTAACAACATGAGAGGTATTAATAAATACAACTAGGTAATAAAGAAATAAAATGGCTCATCAAATGGTATTCTGCCACGTTATTCAGTGCATTTACCACTGAAACCGTTTAGGTTTTAGAAAAATCTTATTAGAAAAATCATTTTTTTAAATACATCGTAGTTGTCGGGGCACCCCATATGTGTTGTTAAACGATGTTAATGCTAATTTCATAAGTGGAATAGTAATTATCATCTATTGGGGGAAAATGTATTCAATCTAGAGGGTGAAATGAAAGTAATTTAATTTCCATTTTCGTCAGATCCCCTCTGCGCTACCTCGCTAGCTCTCCCCCCACTCCCACCACCTCCCATCAACACTTTCGTTTTCTCCTTCCTGACTTAGCCGATCCCGCATTCAATGCATTGGCAGGTTCCATTAAATCAAATTTAAATCATACTGAATGGCAAACTCCGTATGTTTGTTCTCTGCAGGACAAATAAATTCATGCAAAATTTGGTTGAAACCGTTCCAAATTTTCCAAAGGTTCAAAAAAACGAAGACACACACACACATGCATGCATACATTTTTATTTATGAAGATTTATAATCTGATGCGCAAAGAAAATAGGATCATGCTTTCAGATTCCATATCTGAATTCCTTGTAGCTGTCATTGAATTTCAACCAAAGACTGAACTATAACCTACTTATTTTTAGTGTAGAAGATAAATGGAATTTACAATTTGATTACATACCAATACGCTACAAAAACACAAAAATCCTGACAACGTTATTAAGTTTACGAAGGTCAAATCATGTCTTACTTAGATATTATCTATGGAATTTCAAATATCATCGGTGGGCGTGAATAGAGACCCTTCTGAACAAATTTTTAGTTAAGGGTGAAAATTGTTCAATGTTTACAAAAAGTACATTGATACTAGTAACAAATTCCTAAAAATAGTTCAGAAAACAGTTTTAGAATAATAGGTGTTTGAAGTAGTGGAGCTGGTGCGTACAGTCGTATGCATGCCCCGACCCTGCCGGAAATCAGGACCTGCAGCAAGTAAGCGCTGTAATTTGAAAGCGGAAACGTCGTTGACAACTCCTTAAGACAATGGCAAGAGACAGAAGAAGCACTCTTATTCTAAACTGGTTTAAACGATGCGTATTGTAGTTTAAATACACACACACAATGTAAACATCTAAGAAAATGTAGCAATTAAATGCACTTATTAAATCCAATATACAAGTAGATGAATTAGTAATGGATGTTTTTCATAAATAGACTTAATACAAAAAAAGTGTTTTGTTTACGACATAGAAGAAAACCGTTGTCCCAAACGTAAGTGAACCTAAATAGACATAATATTTGCAGAGAAATTTAAACAAACGAGGAAATCCTGTCCAAAGAAAACCAATTGTATTATATAAAAACTTCATATATTTGTGGCCCAAATACTCTATCTTTTATGATTACATCTGTATTCAATTCTAATTGCAAGTCTGTAGGTACTGTATCACTATTTATTGAATACGCAGTAGTAAATTTAAAAACTTCGATCTCACTGAGAAATCGTGAAAACAAGAACATGCTTTTGCATTTTAATTACATCGACTTCACAAAGGGTCAAACATTCATGCCATTGCAATTAACCCATTTAGTGCACTGAATTTCCGCCGAAAATCGCGCCCCCGCGTTCTCCCCGTTGGCCGCGAGTCTGCCCCCGCTTTCTTCGCGGGTAAACCTCTTGCCCTTCCCTTGCCTGCCATTTGGTTGGTGCCCGCTGCTGGTATACTAAGAAATTATGTAGTAAGCTATTGAGAGTAAAACACTGCTCTTGGTCGCAAAGCAGATAAAACAGTTATCGTTACCTCCTCTGAATAAAATCGTTATCATGCAAAATTATATTTATTGAATGTGCCACTTGACGATACATCACATAGATATTTTGTTACTCAGATGCGTGGGAATGTTGTTTAACTACAAGAGTTCTTAAAAAGATGACTGCGGTTATTTTAACCGCCTTGCCAAAGGCAACCTATGAAAATCACAGTCCAGATGAGGGCCAAAGTCTCAGAAAAACTTAAATATTTATAAAGAATGCGTTAAATTGTAGATGGCAACATGAAAACGTCAAGGTATCAAATTTCAGATTTGCAACACTATCACTATCAAGAACTTAACTGAAGTCTGTGACATTGAGGTACATTTAATACACGCTATAAAATCTATAAAAGGAATATTTTACAAATTGAATTATACACAAACGGGGCTGAAACTTTACACACAAACACTTCACACACTTTACAAATGAAATAATAGGAACAAAAAGAACATTACCATTCGGTGGAAATTCTTTTCATAATGCGTTGATATAATCCAACAAAACGAATAGTACCACTCATTGTATGATTCTAATAATGTTAATCAACCCTAAAGAATTATGGCTTCAGATCGCTGCACTTAATCTCAATGTTCGTGTCCAAATTACGCAAATTCTAAAACAACAAATTCGCGAAATTATCAGGTTACCAATGCAATAGATACCCAATATTACCACAAAGTAATGAGTTCCAAACTACTTATTTTTAGAACTCGCAGCACATAAACGGACAAACTAAAACTAATGAGAAAATTAACGTAGTAAAAATCGTTTACAAATATGTAATTTTATCCAAGTACATTATAATAATTTCATTGACTTGTATCTCCATTAATATTAGAACACTATTAACGAATAATAATAATAATAATAATAATAATAGTTATAATAATAATTAGTAATACACTATATATAAAAAATCATCCAATCGTGATTTTTATTACGATGTTCAAGGTATTGTTCCGGCATTTGCCTCCAACTGACTATAGAAAAACATGGAAATGACCAATCACAGCAACCGATCACTAGAATTCTCGTATACGTTGCTGGTGTCGAACATTATCCACGTCAGAAGACGAAATGTGTACCTCCGGCTCTACGCAACTTGCTAACCCGGCAACTAAAAGAGTGCTTGATGAATCGGGAGGTCTTCAATTTGAGTCCTGGTGATGAGCGAATTTTAGACAGGAGCAAAAATGCGAAGATGCCTTCAGCCTGGAGGAGCTTTCGTAAGTCCGGTTGCATGTATCACGCGCTCAAGACCCGACCCACAAAGACAATGATTTACACACCTTACAAACGGTTCATACGACTATTAGTTGTGTTCAGAAAGTATTTGGAAGTATGAAAACAAACTAAGGGATATCTATTTTTTCTCCCCTGTCTTACACAAGTTACAGAAATGAGGGTGATCACTACGTTGCCACGCCCCATCAATTGTAGGGCTTGTCCCTAGATAATCCTATTCCTCATGGAAATCCTTCTAAGAAGTAAGATAAAAGTATCAATTCGACATTCTTCGCCACGGACTAAAAAACAGCGTCATTTGTACACCAGCAACAAAAAATTAAGCGAAAATGCAATAATTGGTGTGGGGAGTTTGTTAGTGGTATTATCTTGATTGTGTGGAAAATGTGACGTAGGAGCGTGTAATTTTTAGAATTAAATTATTAGGTTTACGTTTGTTTTAAAGAATAAAAGTATAGGGTGAACTGAACTTTCCAAATCTTAAAATGTTTATAATAAATAAAAAGGAGTAACATGAATTATGAAATAATCACACCACAACTATTGTTGTGATTTGATTATTTCTTAATTCATGATATGGAGTACCACAAGGTATCTGATACCACCACTGAATTAAAAAAAAATAGCATGAGAGCCGAGCGTCCCTGGCCGTCGCAACCCAGCGGGCGCCCACCGCCGCACTCACCGCGATCTTGGTCATGTCTGCAGGCGCGTCCGTCCCCGAGTCCAGTCTCCCTCTCCGGCAGCACCGCACCGCTTTATAGCGCCCGCGCGCGCGCGCTCGCTCGCTCGCTCGCGCGGTGACGTAAGAGGGCACGAAGCTCGCGGGCGGTATCGCAGCCATCTCACAAGAGACGTTCTTCTTTTTCGGAGAAGCTGCTAGACAAACAAGGTGCCCCCCCCCCGTTTCCCCTACGCCGTTCAGACTGGTGAGCGCTGGCCTCTGCCAATATTTGCGGCCCGCTCCACGCCGCGCCGCGCCAAGGACGGCCTAGGGTGAGGGACCGGTGAAGTACGGTCTGGTGAGAACGCGCGAAAGGGCCTTGTCCCTTTGCCTTGCGCAGCCTGCCCGAGCGACTCCCGACGCTGCGTTGCGATTCCTCAGGGAAACCGCTTTGCTTCTACAGCGTCTCTGGGTTCGTGACCCGACGGACGTGGTTTTTGAGCACTGTATTGACAGATGGAATTCGTCCACTGCCTGGAGGATTGATTGATAGTTCAGTGATTCCGGGCACGTCAACAGCCGGGTTTATTAATCATGTAAGAGTAATGTATGTTTTTTCTCGCGAGGTGGCGGTGACCTTTCCCCCGCTGTATGGCGAAATCCGGCGCCGACTCACCGTCGTCTAGCTGAGTTTTCTCCAACCAGGTATCTCCCACCAGCGGGGCACCGCCCTAGCCGGGAAAAGCTCTCTGCTCCTGACGGGTCTCCCAGCACGTGTGGTAGTATAGTGCGTGTTAGTGTAAGTGTGTGTGTGTGTGTGTGTGTGTGTGTGTGTGTGTGTCAGGGGGTGAGGATAGGACAATGTGAGATCGCGCGCGGTCCGTGGCCCGTTAGGGCACTGCTTCAGCATTCACCTGGTGTTGATCGGAGAGACCACGGAAAACTACCGATCAAAGTAGCCAGACGCAAGAATTATCCTCCAGACAGCGACTAAATTCGACTCAGCTATGAAGCTAGTGTCGAAAATCCTTCCACCGTCGGGACTCGAACCTAGGACAACCCGGTCAGAAGAACTGCACTGGTTGGAGGAGAATTCGAGCGGCCGGTTGCTCTGATCGGTAGTTTTCAGTGGTTTCTTCAATCTTTTCCAGGCGAATGCCGCAACAGTGTCCTAAGAAATGGGCCATGAACCGCGCGCGATCTGCTCTTCGTCGTCCCTGACCTCTCCTCTCCCCTTCTACACACACTTACTTACACTACACACCTGGAGGCCAATTCGGCGCTTAGAACCTGCCCCGGCTGGGGCGCTGCCTTGATTTGGGAGAACCTAATGGAAGAAACTCCTAAGAAAGTGACGTGTAGGTCCGCGCCGGATTTCACATTCTACTGGGGGGGGAAGCACCGCCATTTTTTGAGATACGAACGGGACCAATGTCCAGGAACATACTGGGTAAGGAGCGGTCTGAACTATTGATCGGTTGCCCCCGGAAGCATTAATTAATTAATTAATGTCATCGCCTCAGTATCGAAGAACGAAAGCGAAGGAACGAAGACGTTCTGTTAAATTGACTTAAATGGTGTGTGTGAATAATGACGTCTTTTAATTTCTAATTTTGGCAAATCTTCAGCGCGCCATGTTAGGCTTATGGCTAGTAAATGAACTCCCTGGTTTGTCACAGTGACCAAGAGAGTCAAAAAATAGTCTGTCGTGTATGGCGTTATGTCGTTCCAAATTTGAAAATATCCGTTATTAAACCTCATGGAGAGGTTGGGAAGTAATCCCAAGGAACCAGGGCTGCTAACGACATATGTTCTTATCTACGAGTATGCGTTTGTCCTATGTGTGCAAATTACCCTCTTTAAAGTGATTTAAAAACTATTTGATTCACCATATTGTCTATATTTAGATATAAAAGAAAAAAATCCCATATTTTAGGGGAATATTTTTGTCCAAATATTTGCATATTCAACATTTTATTTACATTTTTTTCTATATTATACCAAATACTTAGAGAAAATGATTAAATAAATATTATAAAAACTATTTGCTAAGTCAAAGTAAAAATATTGAGAGGCTAATGACTACAGTTGTCGATGCGACTAAATGAAACTAAAAATGATAGTTCATGATTATAAAGATGGTTCCACTGGTTAATTTAATCACAGTTACTCTGTTTGGGAAATGTGATTTTATCACAAACAAACCGCCTCACAATTACTTCAACAAGACGCCCCTGACGTAAATGTACCTGCGAGAAACATTTGTCACACTTTTTTAACATAGTTCCTCTCAGCAGAACTTATCTCGGCGTGGTCGCCACATGAACCTTGCTGGTAAAGACACACTTGGTATTGATCTGGAACGACATATCATAAACTCGACTCCCAAGTATTTTTCTCCCAAAAAAAATCCCTTTCACCTTCCTTACTTTCTTTCCAGCACACCTACTGTGAGCCCTTTTACCTAAGGTAACCACTTTTCCATTTTGCGATTCCCGGTCAAATAAAATAAGTGCCAACGAGGTTGCAGCGAGGTTCTTAAGAAATCCAATGTAATCTAGTTCACACCTAGTTATATCTGGGTATTACAATAGTTCTTTTGAGCAGTTTACCATACGTAACATATAATAATTTCGAGAAAATAATGGACAATAATATTAAACACCATGTAATAAAAACACAATGGAGAGTAGTATTAAATGGAGAGTAGTAAAAGTAGCCACATTTCGACCATTGCGACTATCTTCTGACCAACATGACATTCAAATTACAACGTAAACTTCAAGTAGCCCAGAACGCCTGCATACGTTTTATTTTTGATCTAAGAAAATACGATCATGTATCAGAAGTTTTTGACAGAATTCGTATGCTTACTCTAGACAAAAGACGGTTACTCCACTCTCTACTTCTTCTTGATAAAGTTTTAACCGGTTCTCATGCAACACGCCTCATAAGTAACTTCAATCCTCTGAAACTAAATTGAGCTCGTGAATCAGCTCTGCTTTGTGTACCACGTTACAATACGACTTCATTCACTAAATCATTCACCATTACAGCTATCCGAGCCTGGAATAAATTACCAGCGAGACTAAAACATTCAAATACTTTCGGTAAATTCAAAACTGAATTAACCATATGGGTAAGAAATAACGACATATAAAGCGGCGTTAACGTCTTCTTCAATCTCCAGACTTCTCCCACCCCCAAGCGCCCGGTCACCGCCCCCGTTAAACACCCTCTAGTTCCTTCTCTCTATTCTCAATATTCTACCCCATACCTCATTGCTCTATCCCCATCTTCCATTCCCTCTCACATTTACATTATTAGCATTACTATTTTTCTGTGTACACTAATGAAATTGTTAATAAAATATACAAAATTATTAGTGACGATCCAGATAAAATATACTTGTAGCTAACTTTGTACTATCATCCAGATATTTACTACAATATATTGGCATAAACAAAATTGATGTTAAGATACTCGCACTCTTTGTATTGTTTCTTAATACTGCTAGTATTGTGTTTAAAATAACTGTTGTTATTTGCTTATAGTGTATTGTGCTTCTCTGGTGTAAAATTTATTGTATATTTATGTAAAGTGCTACTGTAAACCAGTCGTAGCTTTCTGTAACGTCTACTTCTTCTTCGTCCTTTTCTTCGCTTCTTTTCTCTTCCCTCTCCCTCGGAAATCGTATCATTTTTACATTTTTGACCCCTTCCCCTGTACGTCTTTTCTTTTCTCTTTCACGAAATTTCCCTTCCACTATTATGTACAACTTACTCGGTACTATTGATGTTCGGCCCTTAGCCGCCATCCTGATTGAGGTTTTTCTGTGTTTACTCAATCGCTTAAGGCGTATGCCGGGATGGTCCCTAGATTTGTTCTCCCTGACGTAAATGTTTGCAGCTTGTAAACAGCTTGTAAATGTAACAGCTTGTCCTCCCCTCTTGTTACTACTCTAAATGTATGTCAATTCAGTGGTTAGGAGGAAGAGCAGGCCCTATGGCCTGAGCCTCGCCATTAGTAAGGACATTATTATTATTATTAATATTATTATTATTATTGTTATTATTATATTATTATTATTAAACATCATTTAATACAAAAATTGAGTGTACGATATAATCACCATTTTGAACAAATCTATGGGAATCAACACATATATAAAGTTTAATTCTGTATTGAACTTACCAAACTGTCCATTTTATGAATACAGGTTACTCCTGGTATGACTTAGATGCCTCAATCAAAGAAGGCTTACATTTCAGATTTTCATAAAACTCTGAACTTTTTATTACCTGGTAATTTATCTTGTACTGTATTTGCTCCTTCGCTGCGTTGATACTACGCATAATACGGTAGTCAGTCCAAATATTTGATATTATTGACAACGCTCTTTCTGTAAATGCATTACTTAAAAGAACTGACAACACTTACTTGACAATTAATTAATTGATGAAAGACTGTGCTCCAAGTTTTGAAAAAAAAATCAATTTTTATTTACACTTTGTTTGATTAGAAATTACTTCCGGAAGAACATACGTACATTCTGAATAGAGAGCATTCATGTGTACATTGCTGCACAGTCCAAGTTTAGATTTTGATTTATTTAGTAAAAACACAGTAAAAAATGTATATAACGTTTGGGGGAGAAGATCATCTGCGCACGTTTTCTTGACTTCCAGAATCCCTTCTCATCGTTTTAACTATAAATAGTTGAAAGATAAACGTATTTGTATCGGTAAACTAATTGCAGATATGATTTTTCTGCATTGCTAACAAAACAGTAACTCGCTCTTACCTCTACTCCTTCCATTACAAGCATTACAAGTTTAGATACGGCTTCTCCAAACTCTTTACATTTTATATCTTCTGTAAGAAAGAAGACTTGGAAATGATGGAAAGGATTACTGTCATTGAAATTAAACCACTTCTGGAGATATCCAATTACATGTTCATAAAATGTTTAACTTAGTTTGCAATTGTTGTTTCATATGGAATATAAGGTACTTGAGACAAAGTAATTTTATACCCATAGAACTCATCATTTGAACTCTTCTGTAGTTTTTTGGCATTTGGCTAGCTCCAATATTCTATTATGAAATATTCTTAATATAATTTCTATAATATTCTATTATGGATTTTCCCGGACATGTCACAAGTTATTCCGGATTCCGGACAAATTTTGTTACTCCCGAACAGT